GGGTCTTTCCTGGCTGGTCGAGACAAGCAGTTGCTCTTTCCTGTCACCATAGTAACAATGAAGGCAGGGATCCTAAAGTGAGGGGCCTGCTAACCAGAACTTGCTAGATCTCAACTGGGTGCCCTACTGAAGATTTTTTTCGAGCTGGTGAAATTCTAAAGATCAGAGATATTCGGCCCCAGAAACTCACAGCAGCACCAAATACCCTTTTCATTCCTGTCGCTCCTTTTTGCTGCTAAAAGTCAGCATTCCAAATGTGACCCTTGTGTTCGTGACAAAATGAAATCAGCGGTCCATTTAATTAACACTTGCTGGAAAGATTTGGTGATTCCCCAGTGCCACGGGGTGGATGTGGGAGGGAAGAGGAGGAGCGAGCCGTTCAGAGGAGGAAGGCTGATTGCTGCTGTCGGAGGCGTTCGTGGGTTACAGGGGACGAGACTACCCAAGGCCTCAGAGCCTCTTGATTTTTTTATGTGCCCAAACACGTAAGAACATAGAGCATATTTATTCCTGCTTCAGAGCGGCAGATACAGTGTCTCAGGCTGACATTATCTGGGCCAGGTTAGGTGTGACATTGCTGATGGTTTTCAGGGAACAGACTTAGCCAGGTTTTGCCCTTGGCCTAGGACAAAGATTGGCCCTTTGACTCAAAAAAAAAAAAAAAAAAAAAGCCCTCAGATTCAGTCCTGCTAAATGTGCCCAAAGAGCCCGTTTTAAAGTGTAGGTTTTATTATTACTCCGGTAGAGGTACTCAGGGACCAGGTACTCAGGTACTCCCAACACATCAGGAGATGGTGGCCATAGAAAAGACAGCTTGCTGCTCACAGTTCCTAGGAGGAGGGGGCACGCCACACCAGGCAGGGCTGCCCAGGGGCAGGGACGTTGGTCAGGAGGCAGAGGGAGTGTGGGGAAATGTGGGGAAGAGCCTTTGTTTTGTGGTTTCTGCAGGAAGGAATGGGTGAGGCAGGGTAATCAGGTTTAGGCTTGGCTACTTTGAATCATTTCATCAGGCTTGGGGGCATCGGGGCTGTCCAGAGTTGTCTGGCCCTGGGGTCACAACCTGGAGGATGAGAGCCCCACAAAGGAGCAGGAAGGGTGTGTGAGCTCTTGATTGGCTGGTCTGCATATGAAAGGCGAGCTCACACCTCTGAGGGACTGGTCAGCACTGGGAGGGGCCTTCCCTCCAGAGCCACCAAGGCCCCAGATGTCAAAGCACCAGAAACCCACGGTTAATACAGAGCCAGACTTGGAACTGTCCTTGCAGACCCTGTGAATCTACAAGAAAGCATTCAGCTCCTTGGCTTTACCCAGAGACCCGGAATTTTCTTTGTGAACCAGGTCTTTGAGGAAGCGCTCCCCCAACCGCAACCGGCACAGTGGTAGTTAAGGAAATGCAACATCGCCACCTACTGGCAAAAACTAGGAGCTCTCATGAAATCAAAAAGAACCGAACTGGTTTAAAAAAAAAAAAAAAAATCCAGATTTTGTACCCAAACCATCAGTGTTTCCCACTTCCCCCAGAAGTTTCTGCTCCCTGGCGCTCCCGTAGCTTGCCCTGAGCCTCGGTGTGTGGATTGAGATGTCTGAGGTCTGTTTCTCTCTGGGCATTTTGACTCACAAGTTCCCTAGTGCGGATGGAAAGTTCAGGATGAGTTAAATATCCAGGGTTACAGAATAATAATATGACAGGCCTGGAGCTCATAAGTTTTCCGGGCTGCTTCTCGGTGATAAAGGTTAACGGGAAACTGGTTCTCAGTTTCTGTCAAGAGTCGGTGGTTTATTTTTCCTCATCTCAGAATAGGTTATGTTCTCTGCCTTCCTGCCTCGTGTCCAGCCAGACCCGTAGAACTCCGAGGATAGGAATGCTGTCGCAGAGAACAGGACCTGCCCTGTCCTCTCCAATTCCCGTTGCTGGGGGTGTTTCCTTCTTATACTGTTGAGGAGAAAATGGGTGGTAGGGGTAGCAAATGTCCTCACTCCTTAATTCTCAAGAATTGAAACAAATGCAGGAAAGACACAAGGCGTTGCTGTTGCTTTGAAAATTATATGATTTCGGACCAAACAGATTTAGATTCAGAGTGATTATTGCAGAACTGAGGTCAAACTCCAGAAATTTCTGCTGTTGTCCTGGCTGTAAGAATCGAGGGGGGCAGTGGCTTGCTTGTGCAACTTCCCACGTTGACAGTGAGCGAAGGGCAGGGGGGCAGGGCCCGAATGCAGAATATGAGCCCCCCTGACTGGGGATTTCGGGACATGGGTGGGAGGTCACTTAGCTCCTCCCCCTCCTGCAGTGCCTTCACTGCCCCTCTCGCTGTCCCTCCTGAGAGCCGCACCTAGCAGCCCGCGGGGAGGCGGGAAGCTGACCAGCAGAGTCTTTCACTCCCAGACACTTACTAAGCCCACGTGTGTGCCAGGCGCTGTATCAGTGCTGGAGATAAACAAAAATGAATGGGATTTGGCTTCGCCCTCCAGGAGGCCGTGCACAGCTGAGAAAGAAGATGCCCTAGGGAGCAGAAAAGTACAGGACCCTGGGGGAGCACGGAGAGCAGAGGAGGAGCCCGGGGGAGGAGCTCTTCCCTGGGGGCCATCAGCAGAGCCCAGGAAAACATGGTGTTCCTGAGTGAGGGCAGACGGGAGCAGGAGTGGTTTGGGGTGTGGAGGATGGTGGTTTCTGGGTCGAGAGCAATAGCTTGAACAAAGACACGAAGCAAGATTCATCTATAATGGGCCACGCTTGCAAGTCGGCCTCCCTCGATCCCTTCCCTCCCTTCCCTCCTTCCCTTTTCCTTCTTTCCCTCCTTCCTGCTTGCCTGCCTGCCTGCCTGCCTTCCTTCCTTCCTTCCTTCTGATTTTGCTATTCTGACTACCCCCAGTCAAAAATCCTTCACAACAAATGTGGATTTTTTGTTATTAAATCCAATTTAACTTATTTTGCTTTAAGACCTAGAGTTTACTACTGCATTTCTTTTTTTTTAAGATTTTTTTTTTTGAGAGAGAGAG